GTAAAATGGAAGGAAAAGAAAGCAGCCATCTAGTTGTGAAATACTTGTCCCCTAGATGCACATCGTTAAAGCTCACAAATGTATTTATTGCTCTTTTTATGAGAATTTTATTAGCCACCTTTTCTTAGAGTTTCTGTCGAAATGTTCTGCTTGGTTGTATTTGACCTCTTTAAGTTGAGTATGAAACCTTTCAGTCCCGCAGTGCTGTGAACTGAACAGTAACACTGCGTTTTTTTCCCTCTGACTCCTCACAGTGCGTCACGCTGTCCATGCAGAAGTGAGATGTTGCAGAAATTCAAAAGCTAATTCAGAAGCATAACGTGTTAATTATGAAGAAAACAAGGGATTCTATGTGATGCATCAGTTTTTAAGACACAGTTCTCATGTGCTCATTGTCAGTCATTGGTGAACAGGCTATTAGTGACTCCATAAGAGGTACTTAGAAGGAGCAAACCATGTATGATGCATTAATTTGTGGCTTTCTGGCAAACATTTTACCGTTTCTCTTGCAGCAAAGAAAGCCGCCTCTTTTCTTCTGTCTAAACTTTTTAATTTGCTGGACAAGTGCAAATTAGTTAATTGGGTCTTACGCTACATTTTACAAGAAAACAATTACTACTTTTTTTTGTTTCATTTTCCTAGACACCTCACAATAACACCATATAATTGCTTTGTTTGCCTTCTTTAACCGGACTTATTAACAGCGATGCGTCTCTTTGGGTTTCGTCTACAGTTGGGAGGATGTGGCATCCTGGGGGTCGGAATCTGGCTCTCAGTGACCCAGGGAAACTTTGCCACCCTGTCATCATCCCTTCCCTCTCTGTCGGCAGCCAATCTGCTCATCGCAGTGGGGACAATCATCATGGTGATCGGATGTCTGGGCTGCGTGGGAGCTGTCAAAGAAAGCCGCCCTCTGCTGCTGGCGGTGAGTTATCTCCTTTAAATGGCTGCTGGCTTTACACTTTAGGTCGCATTGAGGTCATGATGACATTTTCAATTTGTGTTTTGTTGTTAGTGGTGTGACAAACACTGTCACTAACTTTTCATGAAGCAGCGAGCACTGACACTTCTCATCTGGCATGATTGTATGTTTTTAGTCGATTCTGACTCACTGGTGACTCCACAAGTATCAATTTAAGAAAACCTTTTTATTTAGTGCTTTGATCAGCTACAACGAAAGCTATATTGGAAACATTCATTCCTAAAATGACAGTTCTATAAAGCAGAATTGGATGTTTATGATTTCTTCTGGTTGCCATTGCAGTGAAATAAAAGAAGGAAAAAACAGTGATTGCAGAAACATAGATTATGTCACAAATCTCGACAGGGAAAACTGAGTAATTTGGTTTCAGTTTTTAGTGTATTTCAGGTAAATAAAATTACTTGATTGCCTTTTTAACAGTGGTAAAAAAAGATAATGTGGTATTGTAACCACATAGTACTCAAAACTGAAAAAAAGCAATGTCTGCTTTAAGTCTCTTGAAATCCCTTCATTTTCTGTTAGTTTTCAAACTATTGTCTCTGTCGAGGAACCTGTAGCAGAATCTTTCATTTCATATCAAAATATGATTACATTTAACTCATGAAGATAGTGAAATGTGTTTTCATTTCTTACCAAAAGCTAGTAATTTGTAGGTCAAATATCAAAGAAAATCAAAACTGATACAGACTAGAAAAAGCCTAATTAGTGCATTTCCAGCAATATTCTGTCAGATGACAACTGCTTTATTTGATTATTGTAGACCCATTATTGCATTTACAAGGAAACAAAACAAGGAACTATTCTTGGTACATTCTTAATATTATAAACAGCATGTGTGCGCATTTTTTACAACAGTGCGGCTTTGGACAACACCAGAGTTTCCTTTGGGCCATTAATTGCAAATTACGGTTTTGTCCTTCACTTTTTGCTACAGGGAAGCTTTACAGAAGAGATTTTCCCATGAAATCCTTCAGTTTCATCATTAACAATAAGCACACACTAAATCAAACCAAGCTCTCCCTGGTTTTTTTTATTTTAATAGGTTTGCTACAAGATAAATATCACATTAGTGGAAATATTGTTTCAAATATATATTGTGCATAAGAAAAAAGCAAAAGTTGTATCTACTATTCAGAGACATGCTGTTTTAGTTCCTTAGCTTCGGGGTGTGTAACTAAGAATTGAAGAACTTCCCACTAAAGAACGTTTGTTTGACAAGAAACTTCTGTTTTCTTAGTCCTCCGGGTGAAAACTTTGCAACGTATGAGCCATATGGGGTGTGGACTTGTTCTCACCTCTGAAACCCGTCTGACATGGTGGCTCTTTTTTTGGAAATATCTTCCCAGGTGTGTCTTTTTGTTTGTGTGTGCCAGGTGTTAAGAATTATGTGAAAATTGAAGCACAGCAAAAAATAAGCTAAAAAACAACCATGCAACATGAACTGTTCTCAAAAGTAATTTCAAAAGACTTTGCACCAGCTGTGCTTGATGCTTGAGTCAGCTGATTTCAAGAGCAAAATGTGAATGCAAACCAACTTTCAGATTACGGTCATGATGGTTTAGTTGAAGAATTTTGGCAGATAATTCTCTTATAATTAAGTCCAACATTGTGCAGCAGTTATAGAAAATAAGTTAAAATTGTGCAGGGAAATTAAACAAATATGAGGTTTTTGAGACTGAGTATTTGCATAATCTGCTTTCACAATCCATGACATACTTTCTCTAGTGACCAGACAAATTTACTGTGCTGTGTCTAAATGAAAGGAACATCCTCTCAATTAATGAGTGACAGATCTGTTTGTTCTTAATGCACATTGAAAAGTGGTTCTTACTTCAAATACCAAGGTTAATTGACATTTTGATCACTGATGAGGGATTCTCAGGTCTGCAGCAGATATAACGCAAGAGGAATTCCTGTTTTACTCTTTGTGGGAAAATGTGTAATTAACTTTTGAAAGTCTTTTAATTTGTATCATTAGACATTAGTTTCTCATTTACACTGAACAAAATGGCATGGCAGTTCTGTGATCCAGACAAGTTTAAGCACATTTTTAGCAACAAAATCAATTTAAAACTCTGCACTCATATTTTTAGCACATATTCAATCACTTCCTTATGTAACCTCATTATTAATGTTCAGCAGTAATACAGCAGAAACCTTTGATTCAGTTTTCTGTGATGAAGCTGGAGTTCCAGTTCCAGTTGGGAAACTCTCTCCCCCAAAAAGAGCTTTAATATGTATAAAACGGCTCATGATCTAGTTAATTTGCTTCAAACTAGAAAAGGAGTGTTTAAATTTGATGTCTCATGAATATTTTTACCCGTTTAATCAGTTTCAAGTACAGTTTGCCAATATTTTTGCAGTAGTGGCTCTAACATGAAAACTTCTCACAGATTCAAGATAGTACAAGACTGCCAAAACCTGCAAATTTCAGTTTGCTTGTAGAATATCAAAGATATTTTACCAGCTGTTTTATTAAGTACAGGAACTAGGCAATCCAACTTTAGAATATTCATGTATCCTTCAAAAATAAATCTGATACTCAAATAAAGAAAGAAGATACTACAGATTAAAAATAACATTCATGAAAAAAAAATAAAAATACAGCTGCATAGATGTACAAACTCATTGACAAAAACATCATTAATATAACCTTTGATTTGGTGTCAGCATTCAGTCTTCTTAAGTTCACACCTTTAATCAATTATAGAAACACTGATGAGCCTGAAATAAAATTCAGTTGCCATAGCATTTTTGTGATGTTTGTTATTTTCCATCCTCGCTAAAATCATAGTTGGCAGGTTGCAAAAGGATCAAGTGATTCTTGTTTTCGAGATAAGAGTACAAAAGGCAGAAAATCAACAATGCCATTACAAAATCTGGACAATTCTCTGAAACTGGTCTAAGATGCTACCAAGAAGCCACAGCAACACCGAAGGAGCTGCAGGAAACAGCAACAACCGCAGCAAAATAGCAATAAAGACACACAATAAGTTTGACCCGTTCATGTAAAAAAGACAGAATAATGTAACAACTTTTGGCAAATAAAACTGTAAAAATGTAGATGTGCAATGCTTTGATTGCAATTAGCAAGCATTCTGAATCCAAAAATTCCTTTAAGTCCAAAGGTCTTTTTAAGTTTTGACCACTTCAACAAACACAAACACTTTTACACACAATTTAATTATAGTACTTTAATTGGTTACATCTGCTTTCTCTATATTTCCAGCCAAAGGATAATTGCCACTCTCGGCAGCAATGTGTGAATGGACTGGCAGTTTGCTAAAAAAAAACAAACAAACAAATAAATAAATAAATAAATGTTATTATATACAAACCTGAGTCAGGCCATTACACAGAACATATGATTCTGTTTGGCTTTATTCGTCCTGCTGAACTTTGTAAGCTAAGCCAGACTTTGAGTGAATTGAAATAATGAACTCTTTAAACTGGTGTTGTGGACTCAACTGAGCATCAACACCATCACTGTTTAGGATGCTGAGCTGCATCTACCGGCTCTACATTTACAAATTAAATTGCACGTTGTATGATTTTGCTGTCAGGATCATTTATGACTAAAGCAAAGCTGTATTTATCAAATTTTAATGTTTTACTTGAATGTTTAAATCTGCCTAATATTTTTAACTGATCACCAGCAACTCCATCACATCTGGTAGAAAATTGTATATTTATTTTAAAAAGCTTTTTTTTTTTTTTTACTTTTATTAGTATTCTTAAGTAACCTATACCTCATACGAATAAATTACACCAAACTGTGTGACAAATTAAAAAACCCTGTACACTGTTAGGTAAATCATTGGGGGCTCTAAACTTCTCTGGAAAACATCACAGCAAGTGATGTTGGGTAATTAAAGTCATGTTTTACTCCATTAAATTGAGACAGTCGATACCGGAGCAAGTCAAAGGGTACAAAGGTGCCTTGACAGGTTGGATTACCCAATCTGCTCACAAATTGGGCAGAAACATGAGATCACTGTGATGGAAGAGGAAGCAGACTGACCACACGAAGAAAAGGCTGGGTGTGAAAACAGAAGATATGAAAAAGCACATTTTATCACTTCTTAGGTTTTCCACTACATAGACTAAAGGCAGAAAGAGCCAAAAAGATATTAAAGGTATTGATCTTTGACGCGCTTCTTGACTACGTGCCCAACATGACTGGCTCACCCATCTTACTGATTTGTCAACACACACAAAGCCACTGTAGTTTTGAAACTGCATGGAAATCACAACACAGGACGAGCAAAAAGGAATCAATCGCTGCACCTGGACTTTGATTATCGCTCACCCTGAAGCTCTGCTGAAACATCAATCTCAGCTAAAGTGGGACATCAACACTGTTGGCCACACGGCTCATAACATAAATACCTGAGGTGTATGCAAAGAGGCTTTGGGGGTTTAATATAAATTTTTATAATGTGTGCAATATGTATTTTGTCTTTATGGGCCAATAAAAACCCACTACTACCAAGATATAGAGCTTATTTAAATGTAAATATTAAAAGACATAGTAAATATGTAGTCCCAAATGACTAATTGCAACATTGATTTTAGAGCTGTGAATTGCTGTTTGGCTATAAAACTCCTGGATATACTTCGCAAAAGAAGAAGAAAAAAAAATAGCAGTGTTCTGTTTCTCCAGAGTCGATGTCCTGCAGCTTTATGTTCCTCCCTGAAGGCGTCAGTTAGAAATAGACCAGCTGTGGCTCATTAACTCTCATCGAACAGAAAATGTAATGGAACAAAAACCTGCAGGACACCAACTCACCACAACAAGAACCCTCGGCTTTGAAAAGCACCACTTTGAATCTCCTCTAATGCACTAGCATAATCACACACTTCATTACCAATGTCAGTATTATCTGTCTGGAATTCAAATGTCTTTGTTTGGGTTAAATTCTTGGTATTATGAAGCTATGAAA